TAAGGCCCACTTGACTTCGCATTCCAGGATGTTTGGCTCTAGGTGAGTGACCACACCGTCGTGGTTATCTGGGTCATTAGGATATTCATTGTATAGTTCTCTTCTGTAAATTCTTGCCACCTCTTCTTAATATCTTCTGCTTCTGTTAGGTCCATACCATTTCTGTCCTTTATTGTGCTCATCTTTGCATGAAATGTTCCCTGGGTATCTCTAATTTTCTTGAAGAGATCTGTAGTGTTTCCCATTCTATTGTTTTCCTCTGTTTCTTTGCATTGTTCACTTAAGAAGGCTTTCTTATCTCCCCTTGCTGTTCTCTGGAATTCTGCATTCAGTTGGGTATATCTTTCCCTTTCTCCTTTGGCTTTTGCTTCTTTTCTCAGCTATTTTTAAGGCCACCTCAGACTTTGCCTTTGTGCATTTCTTTTTCTTGGGGATGGTTTTGGTCACCACCTCCGATAGTGTTACAAACATCCGTCCATAGTTCTTCAGGCACTCTACAAGATTTAATTCCTTGAATCTGTTTGTCACTTCCATTGTATAATCATAAGGGATTTGATTTAGGTCACACCTGAATAGCCTCCTATTCAATATAAGCCTACTTATATTGCTTCAATACTTCAATATACTTACCTACTTCAATATAAGCCTGAATTTTTTAATAAGGAGCTGATGATCTGAGCCACAGTCAGCTCCAGGTCTTGTTTTTGCTAACTGTATATGCTTCTCCATCTTCCACTGCAAAAAATATAATCAATCTGATTTTGGTGTTGACTATCCAGTGATGTCCCATAATCAATCTGATTTTGGTGTTGACTATCCAGTGATGTCCCTATGTAGAATCATCTCTTGTGTTGTTGGAAAAGGGTGTTTGCTACGACCAGTGCGTATCTCTTTTCAATACTGTTAGCCTTTGCCCTGCTTCATTTTGTACTTTAAGACCAAACTTGCCTGTTACTCCAGGTGTTCCTTGATTTACTACTTTTGTGTTCCAATCCCCTATGATGAAAAGGACATCTTTTTTGATGTTAGTTCTAGAAGGTCTTGTACCAGGGCTTCCCTGGTTGCTCAGATGGTAAAGAATCTGCCTGCGATGTGGGAGACCCAGGTTTCCCTGGGTCGAGAAGATCCACTGAAGAAGGAAATGGCAACCCACGCCACTATGCTTGCCTCAAGAATCCAATGGACGGAGGAGCCTGGTGGGCTACAGTTTTTGGGCACAAAGAGTTGAACATGACTGAGTGACCAACACTTCCATTTTTCTAGAAGGTCTTGTAGATATTCATAGATCTACATAGTTCAACTTCAACTTCTTCAACATTAGTGGTTGGGGCACAGACTTGGATTATTGTGATGTTGGATGGTTTGCTGTGGAAATGAGCCAAGGTCATTCTGTTGTTTTTGAGATTGTGCCTAAGTACTGCATTTCAGACTCTTGTTGACTATGAGAGCTACTCTGTTTCTTCTAAGGGATTCTTGCTCAAAGTAGTAGATACAATGGTCATCTGAATTAAATTCACTCATTCCTGTCCATTTTCGTTCACTGATTCCTAAAAGGTTGACGTTCACTCTTGCTATCTCCTGCTTGACCATGTCAAACTTACCTTGATTCATGGACCTAACATTCCAGGTTTATGCAGTATTGTTCTTTACAGCATAGGACTTGACTTTTATACCACCAGACACATCCACACCTGAGCATTGTTTCTGCTTTGGGCCTGCCACTTCCTTCTTTCTGGAGCTATTTTTCTGCTCTTTCCCAGTAGAATATTGGACATCTACCAACCTGGAGGGTTTATCTTCCAGTGTCATCTTTTTGCCTTTTCATACTGTTCATGAACAATATGAAATTATTTGGTACTATCATTAACTATTAATGTACATCAATAAAGTACTGTGGTCAAGGGTAATGTCTGCTAAATATCACGTGTAGGAACATCTAGCTTTTAAAATACAAAACAGGATTTTGTTGAACAGAATCAAGAATAGGTGATAAATTTCACTAGTCATCTGTCTAGTGAGAAGTCATCTCTCTAGTAAGAAGGGAAGCAAAAAGCAAAGGAGAAAAGGAAAGAAAGAAGCATCTGAATGCAGAGTTCCAAAGAATAGCAAGGAGAGAAAAGAAAGCCTTCCTCAGCAATCAGTGCAAAGAAATAGAGGAAAACAATAGAATGGGAAAGACTAGAGATCTCTTTAAGAAAATTAAGAGATACCAAGGGAACATTTCATGCAAAGATGGGCTCACTAAGGACAGAAGTGGTATGGACCTAACAGAAGCAGAAGATATTAAAAAGAGGTGTCAAGAATACACACAAGAACTGTACAAAAAAGATCTTCATGACCCAGATAATCACGATGCTGTGATCACTCACCTAGAGCCAGACATCCTGGAATGTGAAGTCAAGTGGGCCTTAGGAAGCATCACTACGAACAAAGCTAGTGGAGGTGATGGAATTCCAGTTGAGCTGTTTCAAATCCTAAAAGATGATGCTGTGAAAGTGCTGCACTCAATATGTCAGAAAATTTGGAAAACTCAGCAGTGGCCACAGGACTGGAAAAGGTCAGTTTTCATTCCAATCCCAAAGAAAGGCAATGCCAAAGAGTGCTCAAACTACCGCACAATTGCACTCATCTCACACACTAGGAAAGTAATGCTCAAAATTCTCCAAGCCAGGCTTCAGCAATATGTGAACCGTGAACTTCCAGATGTTTAAGCTGGTTTTAGAAAAGGCAGAGGAATGAGAGATCAAATTGCCAACATCCGCTGGATCATCGGAGAAGGCAATGGCATCCCACTCTAGTACTCTTGCCTAGAAAATCCCATGGATGGAGGAGCCTGGTAGGCTGCAGTCCATGGGGTCGCTAAGAGTCGGATACGACTAAGCGACTTCACTTTCACTCATTGGAGAAGGAAATGGCAACCCCCTCCAGCATTCTTGCCTGGAGAATCCCAGGGACGGGGGAGCCTGGTGGGCTGCTGTCTATGGGGTCAAACAGAGTCAGACACTACTGAAGCGACTTAGCAGCAGCAGCTAGATCATTGAAAAAGCAAGAGAGTTCCAGAAAAACATCTATTTCTGCTTGATTGACTATGCCAAAGCCTTTGACTACGTGGACCACAACAAACTGGGGAAAGTTCTTCAAGAGATGGGAATACCAGACCACCTGACCTGCCTCTTGAGAAACCTGTATGCAGGTCAGGAAGCAAGTTAGAACTGGATATGGAATAACAGACTGGTTCCAAACAGGGAAAGGAGTATGTCAAGGCTGTGTATTGTCACCCTGCTTATTTAACTTATATGCAGAGTACATCATGAGAAACACTGGGCTGGATGAAGCACAAGCTGGAGTCAAGATGGCAGGGAGAAATATCAATAACCTCAGAAATGCAGATGACACCACCCTTATGGCAGAAAGCAAAGAAGAACTAAAGAGCCTCTTGATGAAAGTGAAAGAGGAGAGTGAAAAAGTTGGCTTAAAGCTCAACATTCAGAACTCTAAGATCATGGCATCTGGTCCCATCACTTCATGGCAAATAAGATGGGGAAATAGTGTCAGACTTTATTTTTTGGGGCTCCAAAATCACTGCAGATGGTGACTGCAGCCATGAAATTAAAAGACACTTACTCCTTGGAAGAAAAGTTATGACCAACCTAGACAGCATATTAAAAAGCAGACACATTACTTTGCCAACAAAGGTCCATCTAGTCAAGGCTATGGTTTTTCCAGTAATCACGTATGGATGTGAGAGTTGGACTATAAGGAAAGCTGAGTGCTGAAGAATTGATGCTTTTGAAATGTGATGTTAGAGAAGACTCTTGAGAGTTCCTTGGACTGCAAGGAGACCCAACCAGTCCATCCTAAAGGAGATCAGTCCCGGGTGTTCATTGGAAGGACTGATGTTGAAGCTGAAACTCCAGTACTCTGGCCACCTGATGTGAAGAGCTGACTCATTTGAAAAGACCCTGATGCTGGGAGGGATTGAGGGCAGGATGAGAAGGGGACGACAGAGGATGAGATGGCATCACTGACTCAATGAACATGGGTTTGGGTGAACTCTGGGAGTTGGTGGACAGGGAGGCCTGGCGTGCTATGGTTCCCTCACATGAGACTGTAAGGGAAATTGGGATGTACTTAACTTGGGTATGGTGATTATTTCAGAGTGTATACACATGATCAGATTATCATGCTGTACAGTATTTATATACATACAACATTGGTCAGTGATTCCTCAGTAAAGCTGGAGGAAGAAAAAAAGAGAAAAGGGCTTAAAGGCCAGAAAAACCTAATTGTAGAAAATAGGAGGAAATGGATAAATATACAGATTGATAGTTGAAAAGAAATCTGAATGTTGTTTGCAACCCCAGAAGACTTCCATATGGAGCTACAGTGCAGTGCATGTTAGAAAACCTTTAAGTGAAAATGAGACCATCTATATAATTACCGCATGAGTTCAATTATTATTCCCCCCCCCGCCTTTTAGTGTCTAATGCTGTAGTTTGGGTCATATTGTTACATTATGTCTTATAGTTTGGTATGTTTTTATCATATATGGAAAACACTGATGTGGAAATGCGGAAACAAAGACATTGAGGAAGGGTTAATGGACTACGGCTTTGGATGTCATTTATAACCAATAATTAGTTTACCATTTTTAAGAGCATTAAAAGTTGCATCATCTTAGTTCAGGCCACCAAAACAAAACATGAAGTAGCAAAAACACTGTTGGAACCTGTGATGCCTCCTGATAGTATTGGCTTGAATATAAAACGTAGAGATAAAGATTAAGAATGATGGCAACAAGAAAGTTGGCCTGGTGTGGATCTACATCAGGTTGACAAGTGCTTTGTTGTTTTGAAACTTACAGCGGGGTTTTATGTAAGGTCAGCCTGATAAGTGGCTCTCAGATGTTCTCTTCTGATGTGTTCTGATTAACTTTGAAGTGACAATTTTTCATAGCCCCTCTCAAAGCCTGTGACAGCCAACTTCTGTCCTCCTTGCAGGATAGAGGTCCCTCGGTCAAGGCCAACCCTTCAGGATGATCTTCCTTTCCTTGAGAAGCCCCACAGCAGACAGCTGTCCTTACCCACCCTGTCTCCAGAAGAGCCTCCGGTGCAGACCTCGACACTGGCCAGTGAGGAAGCACTGCAGAAGATCTGTGCCCTTGAAAGTGAGCTTGCTGCCCTCAGAGCTCAGATTGCCAAGATCGTGACCCTCCAGGAACAGCAGAACCTCAGTGCAGGTCTGTGAGTCCTCTAGTTGTCAGTCAGCAAATGGGGGTGGGGGGTGGGGGGGAATGCCACTCACTTAGGAAACAAATTATATGTGTATATATATATAGTATATATATTTGTGGGCTCCATCTCTTCAGTCGTGTCTGACTCTTTGCAACCCTATGGACGATAGCCCTCTAGGTTCCTCTCTATCCATGGGATGAGCTACACAGGAATACTGGAGTGGGTTACCATGTCCTCTTCCAGGGGATCTTCTCAACCCAGGAATCGACCCCGTGTCTCCTGCACTGCAGGCGGATTCTTTACCTACTAGCCACCTGCGATATAACTGAATCAGTATGCTGTACACCGGAAACTAACACATTATAAATCAACTGTATTACAATAAATTTTTTAAAAGAAGCTAATTAGTGAGTAACAGCTGTTGGGCTTGCTAGAAAAGTAGCAGACTGTCCCCTGCATGGCCCAGTACAGGACCCAGGCAAGTTTAAATGGTTTTCATTTGTTTTGAACAGTCTTAATGCTATCAGAGGATGATGAGTGTATTTTGGAAACACAAAATATACATCCACTGATAAAGGTGAACACTGCTCATGTGTCTGCTGTAGGAACTTCACTATCTGTGATAATGGCACCATTCACATCAGACTGGAGGAGGTAACTGCAAAACAGCCCTGACAGGGCTGAATGTGTTTACTTACCTTTGTGTCCTGAGGCAAGCATAAGGCCTCGCTTTCCTGCTCTATAACTGGGACAGTCGTTACTTATGTTGTGGAGTTACTGTGGGAGTAAATGTGGAAACTATATATAGTATCTTTAGTGCCAAGCAGCTGTTTAATACTCATTTCTCTCCCTCTCGCAAGAGTGGAAACTGAAGTCAGGGCCTCTGACTCTGGTCTCATACTGTTGCTTTTATTGGTGTGGCGGTGTCACTTTGGAGAGGAAACCACAGCCTTGAGACCCTAGCTTATTAAGCTGCTGGCAAGCAATGGTTGTTTTTTCTAGTGTTCCTGAGTCTTGACGAGAGGCAGTATAAGCCAGCTCTAAAGGGTAAAGGATAGTTATTCCACCTCTCAGTCACTCAGCTTGTGGTCCTGTAGTTTAATGTGACCCACACGGAAACCTCCTCAAACCTGTTTCAGGCCACGATGGGCAGGGTGAATGTACTCCAGGCACCTGCTGTTACTTCCCTTAGATCGGCAGGTGACTTGAAAACCCAAAGTCCTGCCCTTTTCTGTTTAACCCGTAAGTTACTTCTCTCTGGCTTTACCTCCCTCTTCTGGCAGACTAGGAAAACTGCTGTAAATTGTGAGGTCATCTGGGGATTTCTGTTAGATGTTCTATGTACATCCCAGCTCCCTTGAATAAACTAATCAGTATAGTTCACGCCCAAACAACTCTCTAATCTCCAGTTATGCAGAAAGATGGATTTTTAGGTCCTTATTTTAGAAGCGCTTTAACTCTTAGTTACTTATTCTTTTGGGGAATTAACTATAATTTTTTTTTCCTCAGTTTTTTTCAATAAATCTAAAACTTTTCTTTTAAACAAACACATTGTGGTCAATTTACATTCTCTAGTTCATGCTTATCTTCTATGTAAATATACTTAAAATGAACCACAGAGGTATCCGATAGTTATTTACTCTAGTACTAAACTGTCAAGACTACCTACTGGAGGTAGTTCTGTGTGCAGTCCAGATGCTGTTTCATCTAGAAGTAGCTGCACAGTGTGAAGCAGTGAGACCTGAACATTTGATATCACAAAAGCACCCTGTAAAGTTAAATGGAACATTTCCATCTGGAGACTGTGAGATTAAATGATACCATGACTGAAATTCAGGCATTCAGATTCCAAGCAAGCAAGTGAAACTTCCTTTTTACTTGTGACTGAGATTCTTTTTAATGTTACTGCTTTCAGGTATAAAGTCCTTAACATAACTCTACTTTAAAATATTTTATTTGCCTCTTACCACCAGGATTAAATTGCTTTTCCCTCATTTCTGTAGGTGACTTGGAATCCACCAGGCCCGCCGCCACAGCACCACTCTCAGTCCCGCCGCCGCCCCCGCCGCCTCCCCTCCCACCCCCAGGGCTCCTGCAGAGCACTTCTGCTATTGATCTGATAAAAGAGCGGAGAGAGAAAAACGCCTCTGCTGGGAGGACCCCAGTCAAGAGCAGTCCAAAGAAAACCGACCTGCCCAACATGCTGGAGATCCTGAAAGACATGAACAGCGTGAAACTGCGCTCAGTAAAAAGGTGAGGAGACGTCTGCCTTCTCTCCCACTTCCCTTGGTTTCTTATGCCTTTTATAAGCAACTTACTAAGCTGCTTTGGAGGAGGAAGTGGCAACCTACTCCGGTGTTCTTGCCCGGAAGGCTATAGACCACACGGTCACAAAGAGTCAGACACGACTGAGCACACACACATACACTAAGCTTCTTGAGAACCTTGTTTTATAACATGACTACTGGAATAGCTTCTAATTTAAAAAAGATAAGCTCCCGGGAGCCCCTGTATGCAGTTAACTGAGAGATTAGCCCCTGAAGCCCTGTTACTGTGTGGTCCTTCCCTCAGGCTCTGTGTGTGCCTGCTAGGGTAGGTAGGGGCCAGGCTTGTGCCGGAGGGAACCCTGCCTGCCATCTCTGCTCCTTAGAGGAACCGAGGGACTGTTCCCTAGGTACCTTTCTGCTGTTTTGTCAAGCCGTCAGTCTAGGGCTCCCACCTCGCTGCGTCAGCGTCTCTATCGGGTGTCTCTGCTGCTAGAGCTGTGCTGTCAGCACCGCAATGCCCCCTTGATTTCTCTGCACTTCTCTAAGGTCAGAACAAGACACGAAGCCCAAGCCGGCAGATGCTGCTGACCCCGCTGCCCTCATAGCAGAGGCGCTGAAAAGGAAGTTTGCTTATCGGTATCGAAGCGATAGTCAAGGTGAAGCTGAAAAAGGAATCCCAAAGTCTGAATCAGAGGCCACCTCTGAGAGAGTGTTGGTGAGTACTGGGCAGCCTGTACTAGTGCAGCCTGTGGTTCGGTCGTCTGCAGGATGCACTGTAGGATTCAGTCCTTACCGCCAGCTAGACTGCTTCCCTCCTGATGCTCTTCTGTAAGTAAACGCTAACCCTGGGTATCTCCCATGTTAAATTTTCCATGCTGTTTGTTTATATTTAAGCACAGTGAAGTGAAATTCATTACAATAAAATTTACATCTAAGGACAGTGTAAATGTGGTGGTGTAGAAAGGAAAGGTCATTCTCTTAGGGCACCTGTGAAGGGGAAAGATCTAACCAGGGCCTTGCAACCTGGGGACCCTGCAGAGGTGGAGACTGAGCAGACTTCATGGAAGCTCTTAAGTATCAATTTAGATCTTCCCTTTCCTCAAGTTTCTGTCACTGGGGAGATGTGTTTATCTATCCCAGAGAGGTAGATATCTTAGAAATTCTAGCATCTTTGAAACTCTAAACATTGAAGGGGAAACTCTGTATCTCTCTTCTTTTATTAAAAGAAGTAAAACTGGACTAAGCTACGGTCTTGCAATGATGACTACAGTTTGATAGGCAGTAATTTTGCTATCTTTCTCACTGCTGATATGAATTGATAGGTTGTTACAAACATAATGTAACAGTTTTAATATTATCAAGCTGCTTGGTTTTTCATGAACATACATGGTTGGCAGGGGGCTGCTATCATTGCTGTTACATGAACCTGTATCTTTTTTGTTTCTTTTCTAGTTTGGTCCACACATGTTGAAGTCTACTGGAAAAATGAAGGCTTTAATTGAAAATGCTTCAACTTCCTAATAGACAAAGAGCTGAGAAAGACTATCTGAAGTTCAGCTGTTGGTTTATTAGGGCTGTTCGGCTAGTAGATATCAACACTGTTTGTTTGGTAAATACCTGAATTTAGTACTTATTAGTGGTCTCCTTTTAGGTCTGACTAGAGGGTAATGCTATAACAAAAGCACTCTTAAGTTTGTTTGCTTTTAAGAGAAGATCAGTTCTGAAGTTTTCCATCGCATATGTACATTCCAGCATGTTTTTAATGTGTAGCCAAGATGTTTAGGCTTCCAGTCTGGAGAACAGTTACGTAGATTTCAGAACAAAGGAAGGACACTTGGTAGATGTGTTTTTAATTAACACTAATTTATCTGTACACATATTTTATATGCATGTATTTGGATATACAACAGGACATAAGATTTAGCAATGGCAGGGACAAAGCTGCTGGTAATCATTCCTACCCAGTGACGGAGCAGCTGGTATATCCAAATTGTTGAAGTGAAATGTTCGAGTTTGGAATTTCTTCTTGCCTTGAACAGAACTTTTAGATTGTCTCTCACGTTTTCTTGGAGATGGGGTTTGATTAGGAACCAGATAATGTTCGCTGCTGAAATTCCGTAATACTTTCTTTTAAAGGGAAGTCAAGGATTATGAAAACTGTTTTCCACCTCAGTGCCATCCAGTTCTGAGGAAGAAATGTAGTTTTCAATAGTGAGCAATCAAACTATTGAATTAAATCTGTTTTAAAGTAAAAACTAGAATGTACCATCTTTTTCTTTCAGTTTAATAAAATGGCATATCATAAAGATGACTTCTTGCTAAGTTAACACTTCTGGAAATGTCAGCATAATGGAGTTAAAAATTTTTTCAAATACTGGTCAAAATAATAGCTTTATAATGAAACACTGAATAGGTGACAGAATTTCCTGTAAGCTGCTTATCATCGGTCATACTGCTGTTCTGCTGAGCTCCAGCATGTAGCAGCATAACCCGTAGGTGCTGTCAGGAGGTGGAGAACCACCTTTCTCATCCAGGACTTCTAAGGAAGTTGTCATTTCTAAATGCTTCATGTATCTTCTATACTTCTGTTAAACTCAGCTTATAGTTATCCAGAATCTCCTACTATGATAGTAGGACTCATTATTTAAATATAGTGGGAAAAAAGTTCCACTTCCCAGGGCGATTAGGAGATATGAAGACGATACATTCACTTTTAAGTTACTGAAACTATGTGCAATGTTCTAAATGATAGCAGCTAATACTAGTTGAGGTAATTTTCATGGTTTGGCTGTTTAGCTTAAATTTGAACTGTGGCTTAATTTTACACATGTTGTTGACATACATTGTTTCTAATTGTTTTCTATGGTTTAAAAATTCTGCCTTTAAAATAAATTCAGGAAATTCACCTGATATACTTATTTTGACCTCCTGAGAAATATTTATATTTGTACCAATAATTGAATTTTTAGCCAGTGCTCCAAAATAAGGAAGTTACTGTTTTGAAATAAAGCAATTTTTCTTTTCCTTGGACCATCATGCCTATACAAATGCTTTTTTCCCCCCCACAGTAGGCAACATTCTTCTGTGTTGTACATGCAACTTTAGAATAATTTGCTTTCTGCATTTTCCAAGTGGAAATATACTGCTTAAAATGTGTCACCTTTTTCATTCATCTTCAGCATTAAAAGAGAAAGGCGTGTGAGTTTCTTCGGGGTTCTCGAGCCTAGAACCCACCTCTGGGACTCTTCCCGCCCCCCACCCCCCGACCATACTGCTATCTCTGCCTCAACAACAACAGAACTGACAGACAACTCACCCAAGCGTGGGTAGGAACCCGGAACAGCTGGGAAAGAATCAAGGCTCAAACCTTTAGTTTCCGAGTCCACATCTTGTGACCTCTGGTCCAACGCACGCTTCTTTCATACTTAAAATCTGTAAAATGTAAATACAGGTACTGTATTTATACTGAAAGAAGTCCACGTATATGTGGACCCTTGCAGTTCAAACCCATGTTCAAGGGTTGACTATACATAATGTGAGTCAAAGAACACTGGACTTGGTAGTTAAAACACGACATGTATATGTGATCCTGGCCCAGGCACATCTGTTTTTAAAATGGGAATAATGCTCAGTTCAGGAAATTATGAGGATCAAAAGCAGCATTCTGAATATACTCTATGAATAGCAGAGTACTAAGTTCTTAAAGTATTTTACACAAGGTTCCCAGCAGACAGTCTTCTCCTAGGAGACGAGGTCCCTGTGTGCGGGCCAGGGTGGAGGGGTAGGTCCTGGTTGTCTGCCAGTCGCAGGCCCTTCTGCAGAAGCAGCCTATCCTCTTGCTATATGAATTCCTGTGAGTCTGCATCTTGGTGGGGAAGGAAGAAAACACGAGGTAACAACTAATGGAAACACTTAGCTGGAAAAATCATCCTCTAGTAACTTCTCTGAAAATAGAAGTTCTCTCTGTGGACTAGATCTGGCAGATAAAAGTTTAAACTTTCAGGTGTGAATCCCATAGCAGCTCTGGGATCGCCAGGCAGGAGGCGGCACTTGGTTTTAGCCAGTATCATTGTTACTGCCTGTTAGTGTCAGTCTTCCCCAAGTCCTCTCTCCACTCCTCATCCTGGAGTCAGTATTCTGTGCTACTCCACTGAGCCTGTTTAACATCCTTTTTAGTTTTTCCTTATCAATCTTGTAAGCAGGCTAGTTCTTCATTGATACCAGAGCAATCACTTAAGGAAAAGAAATAAGAACAGCATACCTAAAAAAGATCCAGAAATCTTAGATGTTTCCCTCTGAGACTGCTGTCCTTCATCTGCTTTGTAAGGACTGGACACCTTACTGTTCCTCTGGCTGAAGCTTCTCAGACTTCTTTTCCCTGGGAGGTTCTTCAGCCTCTTTGAAAGGTCAGAGAGCTCCTTCCACAAAGCTGAGAGAGTAACATGGGTGGAATTTAGATGTGATCAAGAAGGTGATTAAGATGATCCACATAGCGCCTCCCATTCCACCCCAAATAGCTGTGGCTGCTACAGGGCAGTCCCGTCCCTCCCAACTGCTCTCTTCCAAGCTGGCAAAAGCCTTAATCTGGGGGAGAAAGACACCCTTCACAACAGCGATTTTACCAGAGGTATGAGGAGCCATCCCTCTTCATTGGCCAGCCACGCCTGCTATCAGAAGACGAGAGACGGTGAGAAGCAGGTGCGGCGGCACGTAGCTGTGTGGCCTGGCGTTCACAGTGAGGGTGGAGAGCACTCGAGAGCAGGCGGCCCTCTGCAAGGAGCGCGCCTGCTGAGGCAGAGGCTGTTCTGCGGCCCAGGGTCAGCCTTCCTGAGTTGGTCCAGGTTGTCCCTCGGGAATTTGAACAGGAAACCTAGAGAGAAAGGGGTGCATTCGGTACTCAGAGCTCAAGTAAGCAGGTCACAAGGAACAGCTATACCCACAAGCAATTTATACAAAACACAATAAGGAAATGAAAAAGGAAAATGACTCAGCCTGAACTATGCATCAGTACATTTTTTAAGAGACACACATTTTACAGGTTAGAAAGACACTCAAAGGATGAGGTGACAGAAGACTAAACCTAGTCTATCTAGCCATAAAGACAATGCTTTAAAAATGTTTACCGCCTTTCCAAGCAGACACTCCAAGAGGCTGGAAGAGAAGCAGGAGTGGCAAGAAACAGGTGCAGCAAAAAGCTACACTTAAGTGATTAGTCTGTCTCATGAAAACGGATCTTCAATATAAAGCTCCAGTTAACGCGCAGTGACCTGAGACCGTTCCCTACAGTGGAAAAAGTTAACCCCTGTCCTGTGAGGATTCTTAGATGGAAATTTAAAAATTCTGCAAATGTTCAGCTAGGAATTTTATCACATTCCTTTATGATACTTTCTTCAAAAGATAAAAAGCACATGGGATATCATGCACCCTCCTGATTCTGTATAGCAGGGGTCCCCAACCTCTGGGGTCTAACACCTGATGATCCGAGGTGGAGCTGATGTAATAACAATAAAGTGCACAGTCAATGTTATGCACTTGAATCATCCTGAAACAACCCCACCACCACCACCAACCCCGATCGTGGAAAAACCGTCTTCCATGAAACTGGTCCCTGGTGCCAAATAGGTTTGGGACCACTGCTTTATGGCCCAACAATAAACAAACACTTCAAATTTACGCTTAAAAGTCTCAAATAATGCATAGCTTAAACATAATACAAGATGTACTTTCTTCACAAGACTGTTGATGGGACTGGTAAAACTTGCAATAGACTAGTAAGTTTGCTGTGCTTCAGTTTTAAAATAGAGCTAAAAAGAACCTAACATTAAAAATGGGTGTTTCTCTTTCCCCTACAACCTACCAGACTTTAAAATAGGTTCAGGACAATTCAACGCAGCTATGAAAGTTAAAAAAAAAAAGAAACTGTGATAAAAGCTAGTATTCTACTAAAAGTATCATACTGAACACCTAAGACATATTTTAGAATCAAATTTGAAAACTAAATTTTACCAGTCATGGATGTTAATAACATTCAGTAGTTAGTAGAAATGGTATCATTTTCATTATTACCCAATAAAACCATTCATTTTGTACAGGATAGAAACCCGCCATGTCATAAACAGATGCGTTCCACAGTCACCCAAACAACTCTGAGAACAGGGACCATGCTCGGTCACTTTTAATGCCTTTACTACATCCCCAGTGCAACGCCCAGCACACAATAGGAACTCGGGTGCTGTGACCACAGACTGCAGCATGGACTAGTGTCAGCAAAACTGCTCATAATGATAGACTGATAGCTAAAAAGGAAACATGATACCAAGTTATTAATTTGTTCAACATTCATTGATGGCACAGTTTATGCCAGTCAGTCCTATGCTGAGCACATGACTGACTCATCAGAAAAGACTCTGATGCTGGGAAAGACAGGGCAGGAGGAGAAGGGGATGATAGAGGATGAGATGGTTGGATGGCATCACCAACTCGATGGACATGAGTTTGAGGAAGCTCCGGGAGTTGGTGAA